TGAGAAAAGTGTACTTCCTCATTTTCCTACCCTGCATCGCACACGTGTGCAGAGTGTGGGAAACTCCGCGTGGGTCTGGCCAGCACTTGCTTCCTTCGCCGCCCCGCTGCCTGTTTCCATCCTGTCTGTTAAATTTCTATTCCAGGGTTTCATACAAATTTCTATTTCAAGTTTCTTACGCTCTTAGAATTCCTGACACATTTTCCGTGGCCTCTTGCACTGAATGCAGTCTGGATGAAACGTCTGAGAAGGATTTAATCAGCTGACAAACTCTTCGCCTAAAGTAGGGAAGGACCCCGCCCCGACAGAGTTTCTGAAGTCAAAGGTAAGTGGATGCTTCAGAAAGGACACCTAGAAGAACACAGGGCGGCTGCCCAGGCCGCCTTCAACGGAGAGGCACCCGTGGGGCCCGGGGGCCAGGAGCACAGCCTGCCTCCAGAACACAGCGGGGGCCACTATGAGCCCCAGGCACATCCTCCTGGGCAGGGGCCACCTCTGCCCATGCCCAGGCCACTGTGCACAGGGTATAAAGGGCTGGCCACCTGCCTCAGGGGAGGTCCTCAGAGCCCCCGGGGGCCAATTGGGGCCTTTATGGTGCCCCCAAGCAGTCCATCTGCCCCCTCTGCTCAGTCCTTCCAAAGGGACACCAGGACAAGCCCTCACACACCTCCCCTGGCCATGTGGGAGGGGCCTCAGCTGGGCCAGAATCACCTGAGCAGGGTCTCAACTACACAGACGTGTCTCGGTCTGAGCAGGGCCACTCCCTCTGGCCTTTGTCACATTTGCCTTCGTCCTGCAGGTCGCTGCCTCTGGCAAGCGGCCACCCTCTCCCGGCTCCCTAGAACTCACGCCCAGTTTCCACCGGTCGTCTCACAAGAAGAAGTCTCTTCACCCAATTCATTTTCTGCAACAAATCAATGAGAGAATAATTTTCTTCTCAAATCCCAACTTGGAAAGTTGCCCGATCTCTCGTGAATAAATCCAAAGAGATGTGTCCTCGTCTTGCCTAGATGATACGGCAGAGCCTCCAGAATAATTCGACCGCAGGAAGCTGATTTTCTGAGTCAGTTTAAAATGCTCCTTATAAGTAGATCATCTGAAAGTCAAGTTGTCCCTTGAAGTTGCGAGTAATAAATTAGGTAAAAATCTTGCCAGGAAAATTCTAGGAACCTGACACTCAAGAAAACTGAATGAAGCCTTTCAGTCATTTTTGAAGGGAAAGGTTTTTAAGCACCGTTTCACAGAAATAGAATTTCCAAAAACTGAAGCCAGTTGGAGTTCCTTTGACCTCAGTGGAATGGGCTGTCTCCCCTTTCTGTGGGCAGGGGGTGAGTGGGGGGTAGCTCCCCCAGGTGTGGCAGGTCTGTGGCCCCAGAACAGGTAAACATGCAGGTGGCTGCACTGGCGTGCATGAATATTCATGTGCTGCCATAAAATATTTCCTGAGTTAATTTACGTACATGACAGCAATGTGCATGGCCACCCCAGAAGTGGCCACACTCACGGTCAATCACAAATCCAAGTGGCAGGTGGATCTGCCTCCCCGCCTTGGTTTTTTAAAGTGCACCCTAGTGGCGCCTCCTACTTTCTGCCTCAAGGATCTTCTAGGTCATCGCGATCCTTAGATCTCCTCCCACACCTGGGGCTTCCTCTCCTTTGCAGCAGAGGCAGTGGCCCAGGATGCACCCCCACCTGTCACACATTCCCCCCATCGGCACCCTCTTAGGACCCGGACAAGCCACATGAGCACTTCAGGACGGAGTCCTCAAAGCATGGTTGCTACTCAAATGCCGCATGCATGTGACACTTAACAGCCACTGCAGAGGTGGCCTCTCAGATGGGGCTCCAGTGTGTTCTCTGGCCAACAAGGTGCCCATATTCCCTGCACGTCCGGCTTCCTTGGATATAGGCAGCTTCCTTCACGGGAGTCCTCTCATTACAAGCGTGCTGTACTCCGCAGAGGTCAGTCCGCTCAAACAGGAGCCTCTGGCTCTTCCCATCAGGGCCCCATCAGTCCTTGGCCTCTCTCCCTGGAGGCTGCCTTGCTTCATATGCAGAGGGATCACAGCGAGGTCCTCAAGCGACACCTTGGCCCACACTGGGCCCAAGCCTGCCTGGAGGCCCCTGTGTGGACGTCCAGCCTGATTGACTCTGTTCGCCCTGCTCATGGGCACAGCAGAGCTGTCGACGGTGGCCCCAGAGGGTCAGCTGGGGGGGAGATGCTGGGGTCCCCCATTTCCCTGGTGGCAAGTGAGCATAACAAGAACCATGGGAAGGTGACCTTTGGGCAGGTCCTAGGAGACACCAAATCTGCTCAGCCAGGAGCTGAATTAGGGCGAAGGGGAGCTCCCAACTCCAAAGCCAGTGCCTCTCCTGACAAGAGAGCCTGGACACACCAGGTGCCCCTTCCAGCAGCCCTCACAAGGCGCAGATGAGGCTTCCTAAGAGAAAAGAACTAGTATCAAAAGGTCAGGAAATACAGGAAGTAGTGGAGTGCTCTGCGGGGGTGGCTCGTGGCCCAAGTGCTCAGGAGGCAGAGGCGGGAGGATGGCAGGAGCCAAGTGCAAGGCCAGCCTGGGCTGCAGAGCGGGACTGTACCAAAAAAACAAGTGCTCTTTCCCCTGTCCATGTGCTTCTTTCCCATACACTGGCATCAGAGTCCCACAGGAGGTCTCCACCCTCCCTCACTGCACCTCAAGTTGTTCTCTTGTTTGAAATTTATCCACTGAATCAGTGGACGCTTATAAAATGCTGACATAGGAAAGTCTATCCCAGGCCTCCCCCAAAGCCAGAAACTATCCAAGGAATCTGACCGATTCAACTGCTAAAACATGCAAAACTTGTGTGGAGCAACCAAAACCACTAAGCCCAAAGTCAAAGGAAGGAGCAAGCTGGGAACCACCCATGCAGTACACACGGACACATGGCAGAGATGGCTTGAAAACCTTACAACCCAAAGCACATGGAATCCATAAGCAACAGACACATGGCCCAAGAGAAAGATCAAAAATGGGCCAAGGACACTGCCAGGCAACTTTCCAAATGGTCTATAATAAAATGAAGAGGCGTTCCACATCACCATCAGTTAAATAAATTAAAAATAAAGTGACAAAAACGCTGGTTTCACCCATCAGATTGTCAAGGATGGAGAGGGGTGGCGAGATTCAGGGCTGGGGAGCAGGTAGGAAAGGGCCTGCTGCACCGCTCACGGAAGGTTGAACCGGCCGAGCTGGCCGGCACTGCTGGAGGGCATTTGGCAAGAGGCCCTCTCTGCCCCAGCAGGCTGCCTTCTAGGAATCCATTCTGGCAAAATGCTCAGAGCAGTTCCAAGGACACATCAAAGTGTGTGCCCCGGCGCTGGCTTAAAGACTGCTTGGGGGGCCGGGGATGTAGCTCAGTGGCACAGTGCCTGCCTGGCAAGCACAAAGCTGAGTTCGATTCCTGGCACCCCCAAAAAAGACTGCTTAAGAACATGCCAGCTATTAACAGTCCCCATTTCTGGGTGGTGATGCTATTCACTAGCTCACCCACCCCAAGTCTTGCTGATGAATATTATTCTAATGAGGGAAAAAACTTACTTACTGAAAAAATTCACTGAGGCATGAAACATTTTAATAGGCTTCTCGACCTCAAACTGCCCCCCCCCCAATTCCCCAGGCTAGTAAGACTAGAGATACCCTCTCCTTTTCTATGAAGGAGTCTCTGCTTTTGATCCTATCAGATCCCAGCACAGGAAAAGGGGCCAGGAGCCCCCTTCGTCTGCCCCTTTCAACAGTGGGCACCAGAGAACCCGCAGGGTGGGCCTGCTCCATCCCCGCCCGCACCAGCAGCCCTTGAGACAGTGGCAGCGGGACACAGACAAAAGTAGCAAAATCTCGGAGTCCCTGTGGTCAGGGAACAGCAGAGGAAACAGAAACAACTTCACCGCGGGGGCGTGCTCCTAGACGCCAGGCCCCCTCCTGCTCCCTGGTTCTCCGGCCTCCACGCCACTGGGCCCGAGTGACCCTGGGCTGGTGCATCCTTTCTCAGTGCAGCGTGGGGTGCAGCTCCAGAGACCTAAGGTGTGTGAAGCACTCAGCAGCCCCGTACAGCGGGGTGGGTGGGAGGTTGGGGAGAGGCACCCTGCTTCCAGCACACACAGCCCCAGCTCCACCCCGAGCTCTGAGCAAACTTGGGCAAGGAGGGCAGCTCCGCCAGCCCCAGGATGCGGAGGGCTGGGCAGGGTCACCCACCGAGGGCCACCCCACCTGGGGGTGCGTCTGTGACCCGGCCTCTCCGGACAGCGTCAATGTCCAGCGGCCCCGCGCGCTTTCCCACGCCGCACCCTCCGAGCAGCTGGGCGCGCACTCGGCGCCGGGCGGAGGGAGGGCGCCGCGCAGGGCCCCTGCCCGGGAG